TATCCAGTGAAGGTGTCAACAGAGAGCTGTTTTAAATACTTTCACCCTGCTACTCTCCTCAATTAGCTATCCTCTCAAGCTGCCGCCTGAGGGGATTCAGAGGATGAAGCTGAGAACAATCTAATGTTGCCCATACTCGTCTGCTTGGGCTGCCATAACAAGATATCATAGCCTGGGTGGCTTAAACAACAGAAGTGTATTTTCTCATAGTTCTGGAACCCAGAAGTCCAAGATCAGTATGCCGGCAGGGCACATTTATAGCGAGTCTTCTTCCTGGCAGCCACCTGTTCTCTGTGTCTTCACAAGGTGGAGAGTAACACCTCTGGTCTCTTCTTCTTCTAAGGACAACAGCCCTATGGGATTAGGACCTCACCCTGTGACCTCATTTAACCTTCATTACCTCTCTAAAGGCCCCTTCTACAAATATAGTCACACTGGGGACTAGGGCTTCAATTTATGTATTTGGGGGTGGGGTGGGGTGGGGATGAAGGTGGCGGTGGGGAGCAAGGAATTCGGTCTATAACACTACTCATGCATGTGAGGGCATAGAACAACATGACTTGGAACTACTGGGTTTTTGTTGTTGTTGTTGTTCTGTATTTTCTAGACATAGCACTTGTAAGTTCTGCTAGAGAATTACCTGCCCCCCCCCCCCAAATTTGACACTATTTTTTCCTTATCATTGTCTCTTTTCCTCCTGTTGAAGATGGCTTTGTCTAAAATGCAGTCTCGGTGTTTGTAGATTCCCATTTGACTACAGATAGAAAGACTTATTACACAGTAATTATATAAAGAATATGAAAAGGTGTTGTGTGTAGGATGGGAAATATGTAGGTGTTGTATGTGGGAAAATGTCCACTGTGCTCAAAGGGATGAATTTTTCTCTGTCAGTTGGTGAAAGCAGGACAGGATGTGAGGGGGGACGTTCTCAGGGCACTGCTGGTGGGCAACAGGGCAGTTTGTTTTGGCTCCTCAAAGTCTGAAGTATGCACAGCTTCCTCATTCCATCAATACCAGATCTAGGAATTTATCTATTAAAAATGTCAAAAATGTAAAAATGGAATAAAAATTGCAAAGAAAAGATAGATAAATTATGATACCTATGGTTATTGAGTATTAAATATTTGTTACATTACTATAGAAAAATTTTTGTTGATATAAGAAATAGTTCATCCCCTAGCTGGTTTGGCTCAGTGGATACAGCATCGGCCTGCGGACTGAAAGGTCCTAGGTTCGGTTCTGGTCAAGGGCACATGCCCAGGTCTGGGCTTGATCCCCAGTGGGGGGCGTGCAAGAGGCAGCCGATCCATGATTCTCTCTCATCTATATAAAATAGTTCATGATATTTTGCTGAGCAAAATAAATTTTTTAATTAAAAAGCATTGTGTTGAGACCCCCTTATGTAAAAGTTATAATGCAGAATGAGTCATTTCAGAGAAAAAATCAATAAAATATATACCAAAATATCAAAGTGCATACACTATCTGGGGTGGCGTGTTTACTGCTGATTGCTATTCCTTTGCTGTGTGTGTGTGTGTGTGTGTGTGTGTGTGTGTGTGTGTCTACATTTTTGGATTTAGCATAGATTAACTTCTAATTTTTAGTGGATTATCTCTAATTAAAACTGAAGTACTTACCCATAGACTGTGAAGTCAGGAGGCTTAAGGCTGTTTATGTTTACCATTCAGTGATCCATAGCTCGGTTCTGGCAGACTTTGCACAGCCCTCCCGCTCCTCCCTGTGCTGTGAGATAAGGAGATCAGGAGTGGAGGCTGATAGGCTTCGCCATCCATACATAGTGATGACCAGTGGTTCAATGAACTCCGGATGTGAGAAATTATGAACCATGAAAATTATTCCAAGTCATTTTTGTTCAGGCACAGAGTTTGCCTTGGGTCACAGTAGCTCTGTCTGAGGGGGATAAGCCTTGTGAATTTCACTTCTCTTTCTTTTATTGCTATAGGAGAAAAGGGGGCGTAGATAAACAGACTAAATTATTATTTATATTCTGTGGGTCAGAATTGTCAAGTGCCTAAGGATATACCTTGATTCATTGCCTATTAAATCACATATTTTATTATGACAGGTTACTGTCATAGTTTTAAGAGTTGCATTTCATATAAATTGGTGTGTAGATGAGCATTTAGGAGGCAGTACAGGTTATGCGAAATAGGTTGACACATCAAAGAACACTAAAATAGGAATGAAAAGAGAGAACATCTGGGTTCTAGGTCTACTTATGTTACTTAATAACTTTGGGACCTCATATAATTTCTTTGTCAAAAAAAAATGTGTTGATGATAATACTGGCCCAGAGCCTGAATTCACATAGGCCCAATAACATTTAGAAATCACAAATGTTAGAAAATAATTTAAAATATATGACTCCTCTTTTCTCAGCTTTGGGCTGTCCTTAGATAGAGTCCCCTTTGGAAGCCACAGGCATGGCTATGGGTGCAGATGCAAAGCTAAAGGTGGATCTTCCACTAACCACACGCGACTTAGCATTTTTCTTTTCTTTTTACTTTCTGCCCCTGCCCCCTTCCCTCCTCTCCCAAACCACTTCTAAACAGAAGGGCATGGCTTTCAGGTGATTTTACCTGGACACAGCATTTGTTCATCTGTTTATCTACATCCTTATAATTGAGACTTGAACAAATAAAAATAACAGGTATGAAAGCAAGTTGAATACACAACTGCACTTTATTGTCTACCTGATTCCACCACCATAATTATTTAAATCTGTTCCTTTAATCCTATTGGCATCTATCACCTAAACTACTTTCAATAGCCATGATTGCATTTTACCAAATTATATTTATTTTGATCCTTACTCTTTTTTCAAACTCTGCTTCCTAGTATTATTTCCCCAACCCTCTCATATATTGTTTGTAACAGACTTGCTTTTCCAATGCTGTTCCAATCCCTATTGGTAGCAGTATAAAGAATTTACTTCTAAAAAATTAAAAACGAGTTAAAACTAACTGGAAATTTCCAATGAGCAAATTAGATGACCAGGTTTTTTTTTATTATTATATATTTATCAGCCTAAGAAAAGACCAAATCTATTGAGAATTTTCATGAGTTTACTTGAGTGGCCACATATACTGGGTGCAAGATCTCTGCTCTGAAGACTGTTTTGGAGTGTCTTTTATGCATTGAAATTAAGGAGAGGATATAGGAAAACTGGAGAAAGCACAGTGAGGATTGGATTACAGGAGAGTTAACAAGATTATGTGTTCCCTTGAGGGTTAATATTCTCATCAAGAGGTAATACTTTTGGTATTTCAAAGGCATGTTAACCTAGATGCACAAGAACAATGGACAAGGCTGGCTTAAAACCTTTTACTAAAGTTATTGGCTTAGGGCATTGACTACCCACCATGGCCTGCCCAGTTAGTAATTTATAGGCAGTTCACCATGTCAGGTTACTTTCCCTAGAACTCCTTTTCCCCCCCTTCACATATTTTAAGGAAAATTTGTAATGGAGCCCTTTGGGTTTGCATATCCCTAAATTATTAGCTAATAATATAGTGTTAGGGCTGCTATGAAAATTATGTCACTTAGTGTAAAAGCCAGAATGTACAGACACAGTGTAATAGGTAATACCTTTTAGCATTCACAGAGCACAGGTGCCTGGAGGGACATGGAATATGATAGCTTTAGGTAAGAAAATACCCTTTATTTAGTCCTAGCCTTTTATATGAATAATGATTTTGTAATGCCTCATTAAAAAATGTTGTCAGTTGCCTGGCCAGCATGGCTCAGTGGTTGAGCATTGACCTATGAACCAGGAGGTCAAGGTTCGATTCCTGGTCAGGACACATGCCCAGGTTGCAGGCTTGATCCCCAGTAGGGGATATGCAGGGAGCAGATGATCAGTGTTTCTCTCTCATCATTGGCATTTCTATCTCTCTCTCCCTCTCCCTTCTTTTCTGAAATCAATAAAAATATATTTAAGAAAACAAAACAGCCCCAGCTGGTTTGGCTCAGTGTATAGAGCTTCGGCCTGTGGACTGAAAGGTCCCGGGTTCGATTCCGGTCAAGGGCACAGGCCCTGGTTGCAGGCTCCACCCCCAATAGGGGGGCGTGCAGGAGGCAGCCGATCAATGATTCTCTCTCATCATTGAGGTTTCTCTCTCTTTCCCTCTCCCTTCCTCTTTGAGATCAATAAAAATATATTTTAAAAAAGAAAACAAAACAAAAAATGTTTTCAGTTAATTATTATTTCCTATACTGATGAGCATTGCTAGATAACATATGTAGCAATTATTTTGGTCTTATTCATTTGTTTAAGACAAATGCAATGGAATACAATATTAGTTTAACCTGTGCATGTGTGTTCATTTATGAACCGGGATGATGTTATGAGTTTCTCCTTTCTTTCATAAATGAACGCAGACAAAACAAACTATGGCAAATGAGCTTTGCCAGATTTAAGGAGCTTTGTTTGCACAGAGTAAGAACTTGGTAAATATTTGTGGAGTGGGCTAGTTATTTACTATATTTTACAAAGCCAACTAAATTTCTTATGTTAATTGTGCTATTTCTTAATTATTTATAAATTATTAACCATTTCTTTCTGTGATTTCTGTAGAAAGGGGAACTTAACAGGTTTTCTTTTTAGGTGGAAATGTACCAATGCCCAAGTAATAAATTTACCTAAGATATGTAAAGGTGGTTCGACTAGCTTCTTTTTAAACTCAATATTTCTTTATATCTTTACTCTTTCTTGTAATCTTATTTTCCATTTTCCTTCCCCCACTTATCTCAAAGATGAAACACAAAGTTGTGCATGTATTGTGGAATTTTGTTGGGGTTGCTGTAGGAGAAACTGTTCTATTTATTTGTTTCCCCTTCTGCCATTTTGTTATGGGTTTTCTCTGTAGTTCATAATTTTCATTTTGCCAAAGCATATGGCTTAGAGTTGCCTGATAGTTGTGTTTGTTGACAGTGACAACATCAGATTGCATTGAGCGTGTCCTCTTGCATTGCAGGAGCTATGCCTGTCCCCGACCAGCCTTCGTCAGCCTCAGAGAAAACCAGCTCCCTGAGTCCTGGCCTAACCACCTCCAACGGGGATGGCTCAGAAACAGAAACCACCTCCGCCATTCTTGCCTCGGTCAAAGAACAGGTAGAAACATTCCACTTATACTTATGGGAGTATTTAAACAAAAAGTTCTTTCCTGTGGCATAATGATCGTTGGAAAAAAAAATTCATGATTTACTAGTGGATTGTTGGCATTCATTATCAAATTAATATAAAGATATGCTTACAATTGTTTTTGACTCCATGTTTTTTTCATAATTCAGGCAGATATTCTTGAAATAATAGCCTATGAACTGATGGGTCTTGGGTTTGATTCCCGGTCAAGGACACATACTTTGGTTACAGGTTCAATTCCTGGCCCTGGTCAGGGCTTGTGCAGAAGCCAGCCAATTGCGAAAGCCAACCAATTGATGTGTCTCTTTCACATTGATGTCTCTCTCTCTCTCTGTCTTTACTCCTTCTTTCCATTCTCTCTACAAATCAATGGGAAATGATGATTTAAAAAAATTAAGAAAAAAACCAAAGTGTGCCACCAGATCAGGGGGTGTGCAGCTAAGTAGGTACACAAAAAAAAGTTAAATAGCTTGGTTGGATAATCTAGTTTGTAAAAATAGTCAGTAAGCAGGAGTTTGATTTGAGGCCTAGGCAGTATTGCTTGATTAGTTTGCTTTCAAGTGCCAACCTGGGAGAGTTTTCTGATTATTTTTAAGGAACAATGGAAAAGGTGAGCAAAGGTTCATGCCACTCGTCTCCATACACAGAGTACTGTGTGTAATGGTTGGATTATGCCATGCTTTCTTATTTTGGTATGATTTGGAAGCCCTGCTAGGCCAGTAAATTCAGAGTAGTGACAAAATATAAAACACAATACATAACTTTAACAAGAAAACTCCCAGACCTGTCTGATGACAACTATAACATTTTGTCAAAGGACATAAAGGGATTCAGAATAAATGAAAAGTCATGCCATAATCCTGTGTAGGAAAGCTTAATATCATAACCACATTACCCACTCCTAAATTGGCATATAACATGTAGACAGTCTGGTTAGAAAGCGGTGGCTGATGGTTCATTTCTTTGGCAAACTGGATCAGAATATATTAAAGATTACATGGAAAGTATAAATATATGAGGCCAAGGAAATTTTTTATAAGAGAGATTTTCACTTTACCAAATATGTTCATCATAGTAGTGTCCAACTGCCCACATATAGAAAGAATGATCTCTAGAAGATATAGCTGCGGGTTCAGAACAGGTTCAAATATGTATTCGAGTTATATGTATTTGAAGTATTTTTGTTTTAGTACAAAGCAGTAGTTTAGATAGCGTTAACATAATTGGCTAACCATCTGGAAGAAAATTAAAGAACATAACTCAAAACATATACAGAAATAAATCTCAAAAATAAGCAATGTAACTGTATAAAATAAACTATAAACACAGTAGAAGAAACATTGGGAAAAATTTATAAATTACAGATGGAGGCAACTTTTAAGTATGAAAGGAAATTCAGAAACCACACATGAATGATTGGTGCAAGTTGGCAAAGTGAATACCAAAAATAATAACAAGGAAAAACTCAACATAAAATGTAGAAAAATGGGCCAAGAGAATATGTGCCACAGTGTTGATATCATTAAAATAATAAGATTTCCGGTATTGATTAAAGATAAATGAAAGAACAGAAAAGTAGGCAAAAAATATGAACAGACAATTCACAGAAGTAAAATGCAAGTAACCAATGAATATTTTTCACCATAATGTGCTAATCAGGGACATAAATTTCAAAATAATATGATTTTCTTTAATCTACCAAATAATAAACATTAAAGTGTAATATATATTGTAAGCGAGCCAAGGGTTAAGGTTTGAGGGAATTCACGTTATTTTTCATTCAAAATGGGAATGTGCATTGTTGTTATATTTCTGAAAATGATATTTTCCTATGAATTAGTATTTGAAATGTTCAATAGCCTTTGATTAGTCTAGCTTAGACTGATATGTTTTATAAAACTGAGTGAACTAGAACATAAGATTTTTATGCATATGAGAATTTACTGTAAAATTAGTTGCAATAGAAAAAAACATAAAATTATACTGATTGATGAAGAGTTGAAAATATGATATATGTCTTTTATGTAAAATACTTCATATGAAAGATAGCAAACATATATGCTGAGCTGACTGCCATGTAATAGGTTACATAGTTGATTTGCTCATTCATTAAACACACAGAGCAACTTATATAAGCAAAGCACAATAAAGGGTAATAAAGGAACAGTATATATAAAGAAAACTATCTGATAGAGGTCATTGGAATAAGTTGTTAATGAGACTAAGTACACAAGTTCTTAGGCAGGTTAACTGCATAAAAATAAATTCTAGTTTATCACTATATAATGAAACTTAAGTCATGCAAACCCCAGGTCATGAAATGCATCCCACATAGCATTGTATGGCATGACTAAGATATTTGTAACTTAAACCTTAGTATCTTTGCACTCAGCAGCTATGGATTGCTCAATGAAGAGTTGTTCATTGATTTTTTCCTTTGTTCTAATTTCCTGTTTTGATTGCTTTTTAACTGGTAAATTTTACACTTTTATATCAACATAAATAGAACCATGAATTCTGCTACACCCTGTGGGTAATTTCCTGTGTTTCAGACCATCTCATTTCTGACTGTTCCCAAGTCTTTCCTCATATAGGGATTTAAGAGAGAGATAACTGGTCCCTATTTCCTGTCCTGTAAGTGAATGTCTTCCACCAGAAGAGGAGGAGAGGACAGAAGTGGGGTGTGTGATATCCCGGTCATATTATTTGAATAAATAACTGACAAAGGTGATTAATAACCCTTTATCACAGATGTGGGGGCTAAAGAGTAAGACAAGTTGAGGGATTTATTTTTAAGGATGGGAAATATTCCTATGATGATGGCAATGACCGAGAAGATAAATTAATGATGCTTGGGAAAAGGGGGAAGAGTTTAATAATTTCAGGAGAAAAGTCACTGAGTAGGTGAAAGTGAACAGGATCCAGTACGACAGTGGAGGGAATAACGATAATTCATTTGTGAGAGGAGGAGAGAGGCCACGGATGTGGTTGCAGGTAGGCTGATGGCTTGGAGTCTGTGTAGTGTTGGTCTGAGCCAAGGTGAAGAGGTGGAGGCAGTGAAGATGAAGGATGCAAGAGAGTGATTATTATGATGGATCTTGGAATGACACTGATTGAAAGGGGATAAAGACAGAAAAATGAATAGGGGTGGTGGATTCACAAAGTGAATGCATACAGATGGTGATAGCTTGAGATCCTTGGGCTTGAAATCAAGAATTTAAAAGCAATTATAATTAATGTCAAGACCTGGGTTATGCCTCTGGGAAACGAGATCAAAACAAGAAATGAGAGAGAAAGCTTTTTGTGGACTATGTGCAAGCCCGTGTGAGAATAATGACAAAGCAGTGGTGATGAGAGAGAGTGAGCTGAGGCTGAATCACCCATCAGTGGAGAGGCCCGAGGTGGCCTCATGACCCTGAGAAGTACAAACACATCTGCTCATAATTGGCCTGAGCGCAGTCATCCTGGTCTTCATTTGTGTGTTTACACTCTTTAGAAAATTGTTATAATGTTGGACAAGAATTTGCATTAACTCATGCTATGTAGGTCTTTGTATTTTATCTTAAATCAGCGGTTCTCAACCTGTGGGTCGCGACCCCTTTGGCGGTCGAGCGACCCTTTCACAGGGGTCGCCTAAGACCATCCTGCATATCAGATATTTACATCACGATTCATACCAGTAGCAACATTACAGTTATGAAGTAGCGACGAAAATAATTTTATGGTTGGGTCACAACATGAGGAACTGTATTTAAAGGGCCAGAAGGTTGAGAACCACTGTCTTAAATAAATGTTTACTGTATTCTTAAGAAAAAAAAACATGACTCTCTGAAAAATATATTTGTTTCATAATAATATTTCTTTCCCTTCAGTTGATCAATTTTTCATCTGATCATCAATGCTTCCAAAGTTAGCATCAAAGGGATCTTCATACATAAGCTAAAAAAAATCCTGGGGCGTTTTTTAAATCTTTAGAGTTCGTCTAGTTCATTGACCTTTGTAAATTCTTTTGGCTTGGCAAATGTTTGTAATAAAATTCTACTAGCCTGGTATATTCATGAATAGATTACATAGCAAATGTCTGGGTCTGTACCAGTATATGCAAATGTGTCTATTCATTGCATTTATTCAATTGTGTTAGTCAGGTGTCTACTTACTGTACGCCTGGAACTATGCTTCCTCTGGGTGATACACGGATTTAGAGTTTACCTTAAAGTAGTTATCAATGAAGTTAAAACTAAATATATAAAAAGAGCCATAAACTCTTTAAAATCTGTACATAAAAGTTTAAGAAAACTCTCTAGTCCTTAAATGATCAAACTGCAAATAATTTATGGTGATAAAAACATTCTTTAAAATTGACAGCATTTATAGCCATAGACACACTATTTCTACAGTAATTTCTCTTGCTGTTTAAATTCCACACAGATTGTAAATCATAGTCTTCATTTTAGAGGAACTTTTCAGTACCATTATTTAGGATTTTGGTAATTGCTAGGTGGTAAAGCAGAAGTTCTCTTGCTTTTAATCATTTTTATTACTGTATTTGCTACAGGAAAGCAAGGGTAAAGGCCTTGCTGAGCTTTCACTATCGGCAAAACTGTCGTACAGAGCACTTTACATAGGCTATGTCTTATGAATGAAGGTAGTAAGCATTTAAATAGATGCCTCATTAAAAATCTAATGAAATCTTGATCTTTTACATGGATTCATGTGATGCTAGCATGCCTTTATTTTTATTTAGCTTCTACACTTATAATTGTGAAAACACATTAGCTCTGTATAACAAGAATCTTATTGGAAAGGAACACGTTATAAACTGCTTCCTTGATTAGTATTCTTCTAGTGCCACATATCACTGCAAGATCTTTCAGCATTATTAGTGTTACCATAATGTGCAGCAATAGTTTCTGATAATGAAATGTGGAAAATGACCTATAACTATTAATCAAATTTCAGAGTATATTTTG